TCACTCTGAGGACAAGGTTCTTCACTCTGAGGACAAGGTTCCTGACACTGAGGACAAGGTTCTTCAATCCGAGGACAATGTTTCTCACACTGAGAACAAGGTGCATCACTTTGAGGACAAGGTTCTTCACTCTGAGAACAAGGTTCTTCACACTGAGAACAAGGTTCACCATTCTGATACAAAATTCTTTAATGCGAAGACAAGGTTCCTCACTCTGAGGGGAAGGTTCCTCACTCTGAGGACAAGGTGCTGCACTCTGAGGACAAGGTGCTCCTCTCTGTGGACAAGGTTCCTCACTCTGAGGACAAGTTTCTTCACTCTGTAGACAAGGCTCTTCACTCTGAGGAGAAGGTTCCTCACACGGAGGACAAGGTTCTTCACTCTGACTACAAGTTACTTCACTCTGAGGACAAGGTTCTTCACTCTGAAGACAAGGTTCTTCACTCTGAAGACAAGGTTCCTCACACTGCGGACAAAGTTCGCCACTCTGAGGGCAAGGTTCCTCACACTGAGGACAAGGTTCCTCAACTTGACAACAAGGTCCTTCACTCGGAGGAAAACGTTCTTCACTCTGATGAAAAAGGTTCCTCACACTGAGGACAAGGTTCCTAACTTTGAGGACAAGGTTCTTCATTCTGAGGATAAGGTTCTTCACCCTGAGACAAGGTTCTTCACACTGAGGACAAGGTTCCTCACTTTGAGGACAAGGTTCTTCATTCTGAGGATAACGTTGTTCTCTCTGAGGACAAGGTTCTTCACGCTGAGGACAAAGTTCTACACTCCGAGGACAAGGTTCTTCACTCTGAGGACAAAGTTCTTCACTCTGAGGAAAAGGTTCTTCACTCTGACTACAAGGTACTTCATTCTGAGGACAAGGTTCTTCACTCTGGAGACAAGGTTCCTCACACTACGGACAAGGTTCTCCACTCTGAGGACAAGGTTCCTCACACTGAGGACAAGGTTCCTCAATTTGAGGACAAGGTTCTTCACTCTGATGGCAAGATTCTTGACTCTGAGGACAAGTTTCTTCACTCTGAGGACAAGTTTCTTCACTCTGCGGACAAGGTTCCTCACACTGAGGACAAGGTTCTTCGCTCTGAGGACAAGGTTCCTCACTCTAAGGACAAGGCTCCTCACTCGGAGGAGAAGGTTCCTCAATCTGAGGACAAGGCTCTTCACTCTGAGGAAAAGGTTCTTCACCCTAACTACAAGGTACTTCATTCTAAGGACAAGGTTGTTCACTCTGAGGACAAGGTTCTTCACTCTGAGGACAAGGTTCCTCACACTGAGGACAAGGTTCCTCTCTTTGAGGGCAAGGTTCTTCATTCTGAGGACAAAGTTCTACACTCCGAGGACAAGGTTCTTCACTCTGAGGACAAAGTTCTTCACTCTGAGGAAAAGGTTCTTCACTCTGACTACAAGGTACTTCATTCTGAGGACAAGGTTCTTCACTCTGAAGACAAGGTTCCTTACACTACGGACAAGGTTCTCCACTCTGAGGACAAGGTTCCTCACACTGAGGACAAGGTTCCTCAATTTGAGGACAAGTTTCTTCACTCTGATGGCAAGATTCTTGACTCTGAGGACAAGTTTCTTCACTCTGAGGACAAGTTTCTTCACTCTGCGGACAAGGTTCCTCACACTGAGGACAAGGTTCTTCGCTCTGAGGACAAGGTTCCTCACTCT